TCGCATAGGAAAGCATTATCAATGCTTTCCTATGGACGCTTGCGTAAGAATCGCGCAAGCGCCTCTAGCGGCTGTCAATGAGACAGCCACTAGAGGATTTGGGGGAAGGCTTAACCCATTGATAAACATAGCAGTTTCTCTGAAACTGCTATGTTTATAAAAGAATGGGTTAAGCCTAGCTGGACCTGGCACCCAGACCACTTTATTAAGCTGAAGTGGTCTGGGTGCCTAGAGTGGTCCTTTAAATATGGTAATGCCGCATATAGAAAGCAAACAGGGGAGTTATCTATTAAACAGTTGACATATCAAAATTAAGAGGTGTCAGCCCAGAACAAGAATTCCGTGTGGCTAATGTAAATTTTGTACAAATTTGGTTACTGATACCAGCATGCACAACATGCTGGTACCAGACAGCCAATGGCGGCACATTAATCTCCCCATTGGGAATGATTAGTGCTCTCCCCAGTTTTGACTGTGGTATCTTTATAAAAACGTCTTATAATTCGTGGTAACTCATGAATTTGATTAATCAAGCAGCTGACAGATGTTATTATTAACACCTCATTTAGTTGTTCAGATTTCTCAATATAACAAATGATAAGATATGAGTCTGCACATTCAAAAAACTAGATTTTAAATATTATTTGCATCTGTCCTTTTTTAACAAAATTTGCCACCAAAAGGCATTATGGCATCCCATTTTTTGCTGTTCTCACAAGTTATGACCCTGTATATTTCTAGTCTCTAATGAATATTGCTGTCAGACTAACGATTAGTTATAATACTATTATAGTATGTTAATGCACTGGTTTCCTGGCTTATTTATGATTTAATTTATTTAACCTCCATATTTCTCAATAATTATATTCCAAAATATATATCGTACCTAATTAAATATGCACACATCGGAAACTTCTGCTCACTTTTAACTGCTCTAATTTAAATCACTACATATATTGAATACATGACTTTTTAGACTATTAAATGTTATGGAATTCCCTGCCCAACTCAACCAGACTTTCCTAAACTTTCAAAATATCATCAATGTGCAGCTTCTTTAAAGGGACACTATAAGCACCAAAACAACAATTTCAGTTTAATGAAACAGTTTTGGTGTATAGATCATGTGAGGGGGTAGGGTTGCTGTGTAGGGGTAGGGGTGCTGTGTGTGGGGGAGGGGTGCTGTGTGGGGGGAGGAGTGTTGTGTGTGTGTGGAGGTTGCTGTGAGTGTGTGGGTAGTAGGGGTGCTGTATGGGGAGGAGGAGTGCTGTGTGGGAGGAGGGGTGCTGTGTGTGTAGGGGGTGGTGCTGCAGGTAGCAAATGTGTTTTAATTAAAAAAAATAATAATAATCCTGACATAAAATCTTTATCCCCCATTCCTTTTGTTGTGTGTGTGTGTGGAGGTTGCTCTGTGTGTGTGGGGTAGGGGTGCTCTGTGGGGGAGGAAGGCTGTGGGGTAAGGGGTGCTGTGTGGGGGAGGTGCTGATTGGGGAGGGGTGCTGTGTGTGGGGAGGAGTGTTGTGTGTGTGGGGGAGTGCTGTGTGTGTGTGGGGGCTAGGGGTGCTGTGTGGGAGGAGGAGTGCTGTGTGTGGGGGTGCTGTGTGTGGGGGGTAGGGGTCCTGTGTGGGGGTAGGAGTGCTGTTTGGGGGAGGGATGTTGTGTGTGGGGGGGTGCTGTGTGTGAGGGGGGTAGGGGTGCTGTGTAGGGGTAGGGGTGCTGTATGGGGTGGAGTGCTGTGTGGGGGGAGGGGTGCTTTGTGGGGGGGAGGAGTGTTGTGTGTGTGTGGAGGTTGCTGTGAGTGTGTGGGTGGTATGGGTGCTGTGTGGGGAGGAGTGCTGTGTGGGAGGAGGGGTGCTATGTGTGTAGGGGGTGGTGCTGCAGGTAACACATGTGTTTTTTAGTTTTTAATTTTTTAATAATCCTGACATAAAATCTTTATCCCCCCTCCATTTTTCTTACCTTTGGTGAAGCCCTTATGGTCTGGTGGTGGTATGTGTCTGGATGCAGCTCTCCTGTCCTCCTGTGCAATGCTGTGCAATGCTGTGCAATGCTGTGTGGAGCGTTGCCATGGGAATGAGCGGCAACGCTCCACACAGTCTGCTCATGGGAGGACAGGAGAGCTGCTTCCCAGATCCCTCCCCCTGCCTCCAGGTCCTCCCTACACAAAATCAGAGTAGGCGCCTGCCGTTTTGGGCAGGCAGGGGCCTACTCTGCATTGCTGCCGACCAGCGCCCCCTCCCCCCAGTGATCTATGGCTGTTTGCTCACAGAGAGTGCTCGGCGTGCCACCTGTGGCACGCGTGCCATAGGTTCGCCATCACTGGTATAGGAACACTGAACCTTATATCCCCAACTTGTTTAACTATCCCAGTAGCTTCTCCATGGGGTGAGCGCCAGGGCAAATGCTCTCCCTGAGAAGCCAGTGGGATTTATGTCTGTCTGGCAACATAGTCTAATAAAGGGGTCAACTAACTCTATCCTCAAATTCTTCCATTCAGGTTGTTAAAAAATTGCCAGGGTTCCCGCTTGTTAAAGCTGCTACACATACAGGGTTAAGAGGTAATTTAATACATTTGTCAGGCAGGAATCAGGGAATCATTGTCAGTATCACAGCAGAAGTTTGATGCCTAAAAATGTGTAGGATGTATGTGTCCATCAGAATTTGTTACAAAATCCAGCATTCCACCTCCAGTGCTTGTGCTTGGATCCCACCCTGAACCATCCTGACTTGCCATCAAGAGTCAGCAATAAGTTGGTGCTTAGCACCAGATTATAGAAAGTGCACTCCTTTTTATTTATACCTGAATTAAACTGACTTGAGTAACTTGAACTGATTGTAGAGGGTGATTTTGCAGCCAAATTGAATTTCCAAATAGCTTACTATTATACATTTTGATTTGTATCAATGGGTCTCTTTTGAATCTGAAGTCAAATCTTTGTCATTTTTTTTTTTAAATGTTGGTTTAAATGTAGTGTTTTTTCAAAGAAAAAGGGTTTGTTTCCGAGCTTGACATTAACCCCTTACACCACCAATATGTGTACAAGGTTGCCAGGATATTCAGCCATACCTCACAATCTTGTATACACAATTTTAACCATTGAAAACGAAATTTATTTTTATTGCAAAAAAATTTCATTTGCAATGGCTATCCAGACAGCAGAGTTGGCGCTACCATTATAGAGCTTGCTTTGCTCTGCATGAGCCATTGGGGAGATCTATAGATTGTCAGTGCAAGTTGTACCTCTAGCTGCGAGCAGCTCTCTGCAGATGCTCACTACTGTCCCGACATATGCATGGGGCATTCAGATGTGTCTGCACTGAGGGCGGATGTCACACCACTCACACCTTCACACACAATCATGTTGTCACAGTCACATTGCCACAGTCACATCATACAAGTTTTTGAACTTCAAGTTAAAATGTGGCCGAAATATGAACCAAACGCATTGCACAATAGATGAGCATGTTTATTTTAATTTGCGACACAAAATTCCACTCTTGGCACCAAAAGCAGAGATGTGATGTGATGATGATGATGTGAAAAAAAGGTAAGATGATTGATGGCTAGGGGACAGCCACAATTTTTGTATCTGGTTTTATTCACAGATCAAGTGAGAAGTGACCATTAGAGGGAAAAAAGGAGAAGCAAAATTGTTTTTTTAATTATTTATATATTATATATTTACTAAACATATAACATACAATTACAAAAATATTGATTTCTTTTTCTAGACTTGGAGATTAATTTTGTTACCAATCATAATTTGTCTGAATTCGGGCTGGTTCCCTAATTCAATCCATGCAATGGAAGTGCATATTTATTTTGATTTGTGATTCTGAGTATAGATTGTGTTCTCACTATTGGTTACGTTTTCCCACTTAGTCTGTGAACCAAATAGCAGGAAGATGCTCCAATAATATATACGTAGTATTTCGATATTTTGCAGTACATTGGTTAGCCCAATTTCACATCCTTTGGATTTGGCTTATTTGTTTTCCCCAGATCTTTTTTCCATTAACGAAATCCAGCCAAGCCAAACCGCCATATGGCTGGAATACCGTTGCCCGAAATGTCTTTTATTTTCGATTAAAGTGGTTCTGGCAAAACATTTCTTTTTTTATCGTGAACAAATCTAATTATGAATCCTTCCTCTCTTTTTCCCTCTATCGTTACTTTTTCTTACTTAAAGGACCACTCTAGGCACCCAGACCACTTCAGCTTAATGAAGTGGTCTGGGTGCCAGGTTCTTCTAGGGTTAACCCATTTTTTCATAATTATAGCAGTTTCAGAGAAACTGCTATAATTATGAATGGGTTAAGCCTTCCCCCTAATCCTCTAGTGGCTGTCTCATTGACAGCTACTAGAGGCGCGTTTCTCTACCGTGAAAATCACAGTGAGAGCACGCTAGCGTTCATAGGAAAGCATTGTAAATGCTTTCCTATGAGGCCGGCTGAATGCGCGCGCAGCTCTTGCCGCGCGTGCGCATTCAGCCGGCGGGGCGTAACGGAGGCGGAGAGGAGGAGGAGAGCTCTCCGCCCAGCGCTGGAAAAAGGTAAGTTATTACCCCTTTCCCCTTTCCAGAGCCGGGCGGGAGGGGGACCCTGATGGTGCGTATGTATGTATGATTGCACGCATGAAGATGAGGGTTAAGATGAAGTATACCACATTACATTTACCATGATGCACCTTGGGAATCATGCTCCAAAATATAAGTTTAATAGTATTTTATGGTCCCTGATAAGTGAAGTTGCAACATTTTAACCTTTGAGTGACAGAACTATGATCTCCGTATTTCAACCAATGGCTGGATTGCCACTCGATTCTCAAAGGGTTAAACTATTCCCATTACATTTATAATATCCTGCAGTATTTATTGCATTCCTTACAGAGACATCCTTACATCAAAAACACACACCATTTTTACCAGTCCTAATTAATAAATAAAAAATATCCATTTATGGTAAAGAATCAACAACATTTTAATTGTTAATCTCACTATATAAATAAAACCTGTATCCACAAACAATACTGAATAAAATCTGTATTCACAAACAATATTTACTACAGTGTTACTGCATTTTACAGACACATTGGCAATTGTAATGTTTTTCCATTTTCTGTACAAACATACAAAAAAAAATAGCATTTTGTTTGGCTTTGATAACAGTGTAGTAGCAATGTACTATATGTAGGAGCAGTAGCGGTCATGTGGTTTTCATTTTCTCTGTTCAAAGTGGATCTGTCACATTTGATATGCCATCAAATAAAATGACATCATTTCTTTTCTTTGTGTGTAGGTATGTTTTGATGTAAGTAGATTAATATAATTGCACTATGACATCATTCGAGGCTTTTGTCTGAGAAAGCACAGCCAGAACATTTAGTGCACATTAGTTTACTTTCTATTATAGAAACATAGAAACATGGAATGTGACGGCAGATAAGACCCATTCGACCCATCTAGTCTGCCCAATATTCTAAATACTTTCATTAGTCCCGGGCCTTATCTTATAGTTAGGATAGCCTTATGCCTATCCCACGCATGCTTAAACTCCTTTACTGTGTTAACCTCTACCACTTCAGCTGGAAGGCTATTCCATGCATCCACTACCCTCACAGTAAAGTAATACTTCCTGATATTATTTTTAAACCTTTGTCCCTCTAATTATCTCCATCTCTCTCTCATCAAACATTCTGAACAGATTTACAAAATAGGAATCTGCTGAAATCAGAATGGATTTTTCTTGCGTAAACAAAATGATCAAAATTCCATCGAAAATTAGACCCTATTGAGCTGTCATGGCATTCAGAAACAGGATGAATCATGGGAAGTAATGTATTTGCTTTTAAAACAGGAAAGTTTTATCAAGGCAAAAATACATGCTGTTGTTTGGCAAAGGGCTAAATATAAAGCAATCACTATGGAAACCAACAGAATGTTTCTGAATTTTTGGCACTGAGCTAAAGGAAAGCAACTGTTTCGCCATCACAAATATCCCGTGAGTTCATCCATATTGGTGATTACCATAACCCATTTCTAATGGCAGGCGTGAGTTGATTTTAGATTGCTGGACAATTCTGCTTCCTTATTGACACAAATATACCGCATAGTGTTTACTGTGAAAAACACACAACAAAACAGTTCCTCTTAAAAGTGTGATTTCCACAAGTACAGATGCCGGGTGCTGCGTTTGTGTTAGCTCGCGCCACCTACTGGGATAAAGGCACACTTCTATTTTGGAACATTCCTGATGTATGATTTAAAGATAAGTTACAACAATCACATTTTCATATATTATGATAAGTGTAGTTTTATATTCTGAGAAACATTCTGCTTTGAGAAGGTAGATTCACCGCTGGCAGTACACTTTTGAGCTTTAAGCTTAAGTAATTCGATTTAGTCGCTCAAAGATGTACTGGTAAACCACATTTCTCAGTTTATTGTTCAAAAAGAACAGACAGTGCATAGGACTCTTGCCTTTTCAATAGATTTTCACCCTCACACTATTTTCTCTTTATGTGTATTGACTCTGCACACACACAAAACCAATACATGGTCTGAATTTGCATTGGCAATCTGGATAGTCCTGATCAGCCATGGACTTGTGATTAGTGATGTCCCGAACAGTTCGCCAAACGGTGTCATCATTGAGTAAACTTTGACCGTGTACCTCACAGTCAGCAGACACATTCCAGCCAATCAGCAGCAGACCCTCCCTTCCAGACCCTCCCACCTCCTGGACAGCATCCATTTTACATTCATTGTGAAGCTGCATTCTTAGTGAGCTGTCCAGGAGGTGGGAGGGTCTGGGAGGGAGGGTCTGCTGCTGATTGGCTGGAATGTGTCTGCTGACTGTGAGGTACATTGTCAAAGTTTACTCAATGATGACGAATAGGGGGCGGACCGAACAGCGCATATGTTCGCCATCCGTGGCGAACCGTTCGGCGAACCGTTGGGGACATCACTACTTGTGATCGCTCCAATTTATAAATGTGAAATACATTAAAATGCAGATCACTTTGGATGTTATGGCCATTTTACTCCTTTGAGCATGCGACAGTAGTTACATTTCCTACAATATAAAACTTTGTAATTAATTTGTAAACCACATGCACTAAAATATCTGCACACTACTACAGGAATAATTTTTAAACACAATTGTTTAGAATTTCCCTTTTTACTGTTTTTTTCCCTTTAATTTGTCATTATTTATCTCATGCACTTACATTCAGTTACATTCTTCATCTGCAAAATAACATTTAAAATATTTAATATATTATTCACATACTATTTTTAGTGCCCATGCTAGAATAGTACATTGCCTTTTAACTGCTCTCAATCACATTTTATTTATTCACATGGCTTTTACTTTTATTAGGTAAGTTATAACTCAACTCTTTGAAGTCATTAGATTGTTTGCTTCAAAGTATTGCAGTCATCACGTTGGCACTCAAAGATTTCAAATTGGCTCCATTTAGAGCCAGTAAACGATGTTATAACCTAGTTACTGCAAGCAAAACATAAATTACCTTTTACAAATGTTTAAAATATCTTACAAAGTTTTTCAGAATTTTGCGGAAAGCAATTCTCCATCGTCACCTCCAATACAATGTCCATCACATGGCAGTCTTAATAGATTTCCCTTACCCACAACCAATTAAAACATTTGTTACTCTCAATAGCAGCAAAATATGCTAAAACATTATATTACACTGTTTCTTTGCACTGGGATCCTTTCCTAGATAACATTATAGTAAATGGATTTACAGTAATCATTCAATAAAATATTTAATAGCTGCATTACGTGCAATTATAGGAATGTCTTTTTAAAAAAAAAATTGTGGATTATGTTCTCAGTAATAGCGTCTATACGCAACCTTCGTGGCATATATGTTTGCCATTGATTAGGCTGAAGCTGGCCATTGAATGGTTAGTACTTTTCAGAGAAGTCATTCTGGTGGTACTTCTACCCATGCTTTGTGATCTTACAATCAGTCTAGGTCTGCAACAGAAGAGCTGGTTGTTGAACTGTTTCCTAAAACTCTTGCTGAGCAAGTAGAGAGCAAATGGATTAACGCAAGAATTGGTAAAAGCCAAGAACCTTGCACAAATGCTAGCAATGTAGTGCAGAGCCGAGGTGTCCACTTCTGGATAGTAGTAGGAACGGTATAAATAGATGATGTGGGTGGGTAGCCAGCAGAAAGCGAAGAGTCCAACAAACACCAGTACTGTTTTAGCGAGTCGTTTGCGAGATTCAATCTGAAGAACGAAAAAAAATAAGAATTAGTGCTGTAACTTATATAGGGCAAACAACATTTTACTTATATCACATGAATATATTATTATGTATTTTCTAACACAAGCAGCACAATTGCTCACCAACTGGTATTATTTGGTCAACTGAAGCCCAGCTTGCAAAATTTAGCCCAGTTGAAAGTTTTTTCCAAGATTGTCTTTTGGCTTAAATTTTGCTCTTCCGTTCTCATAGCAACTTTTTAATGAGTTGACTAATAAGATTAGCGTTAAACTGCAGTCAAGTTTTCAGTATTCACTATGGAACATCTTGTTTTGATGAGAGAAAGGTTTTATTAAAAACAAAACAAAATGATAGCCCTAATGTAATTTAGCTTAAATATAGGTGTAAGAAAAATAAAATTTCCTGATCAATCATGGCAGCATTTACTTATGAGTTAGCTCCTTCCCTCACAGCAGAAAGGACAGGAAATAGAACTCTGAAGTTGGTATAAATAGAACCCCCTCTTCCCATCAGGCAGTCTTTTTTCCTTTCCTTCAAAACAGTTTGGAAAGAGTCTGCTTAAGCAGGCCTAGATTTTTCTTTTATGCTCACCAGGTAATATTTTTGTAGCCCTGCCAGGGTTCAGCCTCTAAGGCCTGAAGACCAAACAACAGCACAGACCCAACCTCTTCCTCAGGACATGAAAATGGTCCAATGTTATTATGCCAGGGTTCAGCCTGTTATCCCTGAAGACCCAACAAAAGCACATCTCTATGAGTTGCCAGCCTGGGTAACCCCTTTAGTGACCCAATTCTCTCCCTCAAAGAATGAAAGCAGTCCACAGCATACATGAAGCCATGCCAGGGTTCAGCCTCTTATCCTTGAAGACCCAGCAAACAGCACATCTGTAAGACTTGCCAGCCTGGGTACCTCTTTCAGCAACCAGGGGTTTGACCTATCTCTCTCCATGTGGAGATGACAGCGGTCCACTGCATACATGAGGCCCAGCTGAATCTAAGCCTCTTTCCCTAAAGACCCAGCAAACAGCACTTCTATAAGGTGACTATCTGGGTATGCCACTTTTATGTATACCACCATATCTGAAGTCTGTTTTAAACATTCTCCCACAGGTGAGGACAAATGGCATATGGGGTACAGATGGAATCCTACAGTTTAAACAGTGTAGTCTGTCAATTGTTCAAATGCCCAATTGCAGCTGAAACACAGGCTTGCAGCTGATTATGTAGGTGCATTTGTAGTTCAGATTAAAGACTAGTATAGCCACCTGAGTCTCTGTTATTTCAGTCTCTCCCAGTTGCTTACATTAGACTTCCTTCTAACAAATAGGTCACATTTAGGAAGTTTTTTTGGTGGGCATTTAGGTAAGTTGATACATGCAAGGATGCATTGTGCAAAAGAGTGCTAATAATGGATATCTTGGCTGTATAAAGTCTGCCTGAATTCTACAATGTTGAAGTCTGAGCAATACACAAGGTAAGAGAAGACTTTCCTTGGTGACTGATTGAAATACACACATGTATGTGACTGGTTTTAAAACCTCACTTGTTTCTATCAAGGCATGTGACATTGAATGCTGTTATCTGTGCATTATAGCACACAAGCAGGCTTATTCAGAGAGTGGAAGAAAATATATATAGTTTGAATCTTCTTGCTTATCTATATCAGCATATGAAACCAAGATATCCTCTCTGTATGAGCAGGTGTGGAGACACAGCCTCAGTATATGTTATTTATATTATTTTGTACATGAACAGCATCAGTATGTTTCCACTATATGCTCTATGAATGAATTCGTCTGAAATCTCAGCCTCAGTGTGTGTCCAGTATATACTCTATGTAGGAGTTACTATGCCAAGATCTATGTATCCACTATATGCCCTACGTATAAATTGGTCTGAAAACTCAGCCTTAGCATATGTATCCACTATATCTTCTATGAGTTACTATGAGGACACAACCAAGGTACATGTAATGAGTATATGGTCTGTGTATGAGTTGGTCTGTAGAGTCAGCCTCAGTGTGTGTGTGTGTGTGTGTCTAGTACATGCTCTATGTATGGATTACTATGAAGACACAGCCTCAGTGTATGTATGCATTATATACTCTGAGTTCTATGAGGACACAGCCAAGGTATATGTCTCCTCTCTATGGTCTATATGTGAGTTGGTCTGAAGACTTAGCCTCATTATGTGTGTCCAGTATATGCTCTATGTAAAAGTCACTGTGAAAACACAGGCTCAGTTTCAGAGGAGTAACTAGAAAACACACGGCCCCGTTATGAAAAGTGCCCTGGGACCCCCCCATGCATTTCCCCCCTGCCCATCCATTTGATACATACACAGACACACATGCTAATACAGACACACAGAATTACACACATTCAGATACACAGAATTACACTTCTACAGATACAAACACTGACAAACATACAGATTCACAGACACACTCTGACACACATGCGGATACACAGACACACATACAGACAGACACACATATAGACACACATGCAGATGCACATCCACAGAATGGCACTTATACAGATATAAACAGTGACACACATAAAGATACATAGGGGCACACACTGACACACATGCAGATACACATGCAGGCTAACAGACACACATACAGACACACATATACACATGCCGACACACATGTAGATACAGATACACATAGAAACATACAGATACACATACAGACACATATGCAGAGAAACAGATACACATACAGACACACAGACACATACAGAGACATACACATATAGACATGAATGCAGATACAAAGACACACTTAATGACAAACATTTAGATACACATACAGACAAACAGATACACAGACAAAGAACTACACATACAGACCCACACACAGACAAAGACACACACAGACATACAGACACACACACAGACATACAGACACATACACACACACAGACATACATACACACACAAAAAGACATACAGACACACACACACACACATTAAAAATTTGTGACTTCCCTGGGGTCCAGTGGCTGCCTCGTACTGATGAAAATCAGAGCTCCCACTCTGACTCCCTCCTCTCCTCCTGCATGGAGCTCTGTTAGCTGGGAGGAAGTGACGGCTCTTGCTGATTGCATTTGCACAGCTTAGTAGATCCTGCTGATTGTAGATGCACAACTTGGGCCATTTATTGCTCCCATGAGTAAGTAACTCTGAAGCAATTACCTGAATGTTTTCACTGGTATACCTTACTTTTTCAAATCTAATTTAACTTTTATTTTAACCCCTTAAAACCGGAGGGCGTACTATAATGCCCTATTCTAAGCGGCTCTAAACGCCGCCGGGCGTAATAGTAGGGATCCAAGGGAGTCTCCCGCGGCGGATCCTGCCTCCTCCTCCGCCCCCCCCCAGCCATGTCAGAGTGAGGTCCGGGTTAGCTGGCTGCTGCGTTGCCAGCAGGGGGACTGCTTGTAATAACAGTTAGTCCCCCTGCTGGCTGAATTCAAATAAACAACAGTTAAAATCAGTGTAAAAGAAAATATATATATACTTAGATCATATATATATATATATATATATATATATATATATATTGATATATATATTATATATATATGATCTAAGTATTTATATAAACATAAACATACACACACACACACTGTCTAGGTGTATTTTACTATTAATATATATATAATTATATATATATTAATATCAAATTACCCGTAGACTGATACTGATTAAATATATATATATATATAATTATTGTTATATATATTATTTATAATATAAGAAAAATAAATATGGAAATATGTTTAAAAATAAAAATAAAAAATAATAATAAATAAATAAATAAAAAATATATAGATGTGTGTTATTTCGTTCTAACTGTATTGTGATATTAATATATATATATTTATATCAAAATACACATAGAAC